TCAAATTGTTCCAAATCAACAGGTAAACTAAGTAAAAATCACTTAGTATGTTTTATTCATGAAAAGATTTCAATTCATGTATTTGTGATTAATTTAATTAGAAAAATAATCATTCATTTATTTTTATGTATTAGGTGTGTCCATTAGTAAGCAATATGCATATATGTTTATACCTCATCTCTCAAGTGAATACATATAATAGCGCAGGTAACTTAACGATTATTTAAGGCATGCCTAAAATAATCGTTAAGTTACCTGCTATATAGCAGTTATATAACAACGCAGGTAGTCACATGAGAGATATAAGGTATAAACTTAAAGCACCGCAGTCTGTTTCTACCGACATAATCTAATATTTAAGTTTGGTGATATCACAACAATGCTCATAGTTGCTGTAGTGCATAGTTGTTGAAAGTGTAGTGCTGCATAGTTGTTGAAACGAAAAAGTGTTTATATATACAACAATGGAAAAATCTGCTGAATTGATTATTAAAAGGGTGCAATGTAGTGCCAACATAAACAATCCCAATTGCAGCCGCAATAATTTACGTAATTTATCACCAAGTCTCATAGAGAAAATAGATTCATGGGGCTTTGATCATCAATTGGATGTAACAATGCGTATTTGGGAATCGTGTCGTGGAATTTTAGTGCACGATAGGACACCTCTCCCGAAAAAGAGGCGATCGGATGGAAAAGAATCAAGCCATGCTCGGAAGTTTGAAGAGCCGCAACCATCAACAAGTCATCAGCAATCAGAACATCAGGAATTTGATGATACACTAGGTAAATAATAATAACTATAACTGTTTCAACTGTGTGGTTTAAGGATTGTACATCGAAGATACAACTTCATTTTCAACATTTTTTTAGAGCACGAGCTGGATGAACCGCTTATCGTACAAATTTGATCGATTGGTAGGCCAACCTCGGTGAACAATCTATCAAATTTTCACGACTGTACGATATGCGGTTTATGCAGCTCGTGCTCCACAAACATGGGGAAAATTCAGATGCGGCTTCGATGTACCGTAAACGGGGATGTCTTTGATAATGGAGGTAACTTTGATAATGCAGCTAATCCAAAAAGTTATGACTTAATGCTCTTCGTATTCATTATTTTGGAAGGGAACATCGGTTTCCTATCCAAAATATTGCGTACGATGTGCCTTAAGTCATAAATTTTTGGCTTAGCTGCATTACCAAAGTTACCCCTATTATCAAAACCACCCCCGTTCATGGTACTATCACCTTAACAGCGTTATATATTAATGTGTGGTAATATTTTTTTTTTCTTTTCTTTAATTTTACAGATACAGATCCATCGCTAGAATCAATCCCATCAGCGGATCAGATCCAAGGTCCATATAATGTGGAACAATTCAATTGTATAGCTTCAACCTTACAGTTATCACCAATTTCATCGAGAAGTATGAGAAGTATGAATTATCGTGTTCAAAAATCTGCAGAGATCACAAAGGCAGTGCGTAAAAATATATTTGGGATGGATTCAGACGATGTCAACAAATCAAATGATTTTGACGAAATGATCATGCAGTTAAAGGAGAAATTTAATTTGCCTTCTACGAGTACAAATGACAAATTAAAAGTGTTATCAGTGCTCCCTAAATCATGGTCAGTGAATCAAATAGTTAATGAGTTTAATGCACCCCATCATACAGTGAAACAGATGAAAAGGCTAGTCAGAGAACAAGGTATTCTTTGTAGTAAGAAAGCAAGAAGTGGTCATGGATTTAATGATACTGAAAAACAAATTGTTTTAAATTTCTTTGACAGTGATGATATTAGTAGGCCTATGCCAGGAAGTAATGATTATGTTTCTGAATATCGAAATGGATATAAAGAGCATGTTCAGAAACGTTTATTGATGATGTCTCTTAAAGAGGCTTTTATGATTTTTGAAGAGAAATACAAAAGTGTTAAAATCGGATTTACTTCGTTCACTCAGCTCCGACCAAAGCATTGCATACTGTTGGATAGTACAGGTACACATAATGTATGTGTCTGTACTATACATGAAAATGTTAAATTGATTATTAATAGTGTAAAATTTGATTCATATAAAGAAATTACAGACAAAATACTTTGCAGTAGTCCTATTAGAACCATAGATTGTTTTTATCGTACATGTGAAGAATGCATTTCCACAGATAGTATCGTGAGGGAACTTACATCAGTATTAGAAGCAGATGATATGGAAGAAGTTTTATTTCAACAGTGGTTGACTACCGACCGTTGTAATTTGGAAACTATTATTAAACCTGCAGATGAGTTTGTTCAATATTTGACGGAAAAAGTTGAAAAGCTCATAACCCATGATTTTATTCATAAAGAGCAATCATCTTACCTAAGTAATAAAAAAAATACTCTTCAAAACGGTGAAATTTTAGTGATTTGCGACTTTTCTGAAAATTATTCATTTATTATTCAAAACTCAGCACAGGGGTATCATTGGAACAATAATCAAGCTACGATACATCCTTTCGAAATTTACTACATAAAAGAAAACAAGTTGGAACATTTAAGCTTTATTATTATTTCAGAAGTATTGACCCATGATACAATAGCAGTTCAATTATTTATATCAAAATTGTTAGATTTCATTAAACAATCTATTAGTTTCACAAAAATTACTTTCATGTCAGATGGAGCAGCGGCTCATTACAAAAATAAAAAGAATTTTGCCAGTTTGTGCAACTTCAAGTCCAAGTATGGATTGGAAGCAGAATGGCACTTCTTCGCAACGTCTCATGGGAAAGGCCCATGTGACGCAATTGGAGGAACTCTCAAACGAATGGCAAAGAGAGCAAGTCTTGCTCGAGATTATGGAAACACAATCACAACTCCACAAGAACTGTATGACTGGGCAGTTAAACAAACAGATACAAGCATAACAAAATTGAACTTCTGCTTCATATCAAATGATCAATACACAAAGATGTCCGATGAACTCAAGGAGCTGTTCAGTCATGTAAAAACTATTACCTGGTACACAAAAATTTCATTGTTTTGTACCTATTTCTCAAAACATAATTTCTACTAAGCGATTTTCACATTCAAAGGAAACTCCGAAAAATTTCACTCTGTTTCCGATAGACTAATAATCAATGAAAAACTCAAATTATGTATGGAGAATTATAGGAAAATAAATTATGCACTAAACAAAAACACTAGAGTTTTCATTTATTAAAACACCATTCGAAATGCAGGAAAATCCTCTGTATTAGGCCCTTTCAAATGTTAGGCTAGATTTTTGTTTTAAGCACGCCCAGATTATCAAAAGGTCAAAATCTTTATGCTCATTAAGTTTCAACGGATTTTAATAAGGTTGTGCGCGTATTACTATTCGACTTTGAGTGAAAAACGCTAAAAAAAAAATTAACATGAAAAAGTTGTTGTTCGAACAACTTTTTTTTCCTTAAAAGCGCCCACTTTGCGATGTATGAAGAAAAGTTAGGTAATTATATTGCCTTTCATGAGAAAAAATATCAAGCAAATCTGAGGGGTACCATTTTTGGGAAAATGACTTTTAATTTTTAAATATATTTTTTTAGAGTGTAGAAACCAATTTTTTAATTTATTTAAATTTTTTTATAAAATTTCAGATTATTTGCTAAAAGTTCGCCATACATCACTATTTTGTAGGGCTTGTCATTTTTAAGCTATATCGATTTGAAAAAAAATCGACAAAAAACTTTGACCCTTATCAAATGTTAGGCGAGATAAATTTTGAAAAAAATAAGTACTCAAAGTTGCTTAAAATTGCTAAGTCTCCACACCCACAAAGTTTCATAAGGTTCTGAGAGGGTGCTGCCAACTCCGAAGACGAGTTGGCGTGAAATCCGTCTATTTGCTCCATGAGGCCGGTAAAGCACTCCTCGTATTTTCTCATGAAAATACGAGAACTTCTAAGTGCTTTATCTTTAAGATCTTTTGTCATCACCTTTGCATGGGTGCCATCTCATTGCTCGATTGCGGGCAATGAGAAAGCGAACTCACTTACAAAGGTAGGCGCTATGGAAGGCGATATCTACGATCGACAGATCGCCGTCAACGAATTTTTCTTCATTTATCGTCAACAGCCGCTCGCCAGCTGGCAAAATAACTGGAGTGAAGGGTGTTTGGGACGATGGCTATATTCGATCATCCCTAAGGTGTCGAAGATTCCTTGGTTCAAAGGGTTGAAGGTGGCTCGAGACTTCATTCGTGTGATGTCTCGCCTCATGTCCAATCACTGTTCGTTAAACGCTCACTTGTTCCGTGTTGGGGGCTGCGGGACAGCAATCTCTGTGAATGTGGACAAGGTTATCAGGATGCAGATCACATCATTTGGTCTTGTGCTGAGCATCGTGGAGTCAGATCTAAGCTGTACTACCTCGGGCTCGAGGCAGACAACCTAATGTTCCTGTTCGGGATGTTTTGACTGGACGCGATCTGGAGTTTATAAAGCTCATTTCGCGATTACTGTCGCCACCTTAACACAATTTTTGAGACGACTCTGCTGTCAGTGGAAGTTTTGTTTGGATGTTTATTGGCACACTGAATAAGTTCCCAAATATCTCCTTAGAAGTCAATCTTTTAAATTTGTCGAACCTCTTAACGGAATCCCTTTCTGAATAGCTTTGAGTGTGTTGGTTTATTTCCTTTTAATTTCGTTATGATTGCTTATCTTTTGACAGAGACGCGTATTTCATCTACTACTTGCAGACTTCATCAGTGCCAAGTGGTGTTGAGTACTTGGCACTGATGAAGTCTGCAAGTCGTAGATGAAATGCGCGTCTCTGTCAAAAGATAAGCAATTATAACGGAATTAAAAGGAAATAAACCAACACACTCAAAGCTCTTCATCCTTAGAAGTGTCTGATTTCGTCGTATCAGCTGTCTGAACTTTCCTTTCAGAGTGAATGAAAACTTTTCATCTGAATATGTTTTGTTCGGAGGTTAGAACCAACTGTTAAAGTTACAAAACAGTTTCTTACCTTGCTGATGTGTCTTCGGATGGAAGCCTCGTGTGGTCGAACATTCTTGTTTTTCATGTACTTGTGTCTATCGACAACTTTACCCGACAGTAAACTAGGCGAAACGTACGAATAACCTGCGGATATTTGAAGCAGTTAGTTTTATGTGGAAATTTGTCCTTCGCTCTTACGACAACTCACCTCTGAACAATCGTTCGGAGTTGGGCGGCGCCGAGGCGGGCGAATCGACCGGTGTTTGCCGCGTAAACTCGTCGCTAAAATTGTTCGTGTCCAGCTCGTCCTCGATGACCGGTTTGAATGGGGCCGAAATCTTCTTCTCTGCCAGCTGCCGCCAGTTGATCGATTTGAAGAAACCGTGCGATTTGAGCTCGGAAGCATCGGCGGACCCGCCGCCCAGCCGTCGGCGTGGATCTTTGACCAGCAGTTTCCGGATGAAATCTTTCGCCTCCCGCGAAAGATGATCCGGAATTACCGCTTCGGTGTTGGTGATTTTCTTCGATATTTCCGTCTGCGTGGCGGGTTCATCGGAGCTGAACGGCGAACTACCGGTAAGCAGTTCGAACGTTAGCACCCCCACCGACCACCAATCGACGGATGCGTCGTGACCGTTTTGGTTGGATTTGACTATCTCCGGTGCCATGTACTCGATCGTACCGCAAAAGCTGTGCGCCCGCTCGTTTTCGAACACCAACTCCCGCGAGAGGCCGAAATCCGTCAGCACGATGTGACCCTCCGAATCGATCAGGATGTTTTCCAGCTTAATGTCCCGGTAGATGATTCCCAACTGGAAGATGCAATAAAGGTCAATTTTAATCTAAGGAATTTCTTCGTTGTCGAGCATTATACCTTGTGAAGTTGTTCCAGGGCCACGATGATTTCCGCGATGTAGATACGGACCTCATCTTCGGTAAAATGTTCCTTGTTGTAGAGATGGGTAAACAACTCCCCACCGCTGACGTAGTCCAAAATGATGTGCAGCTTGGAATCCGTTTGGAAAGCATAGTGCATCGTCACCAGGAAGGGCGATCGCTTGATCGATTCCAACACCTGTAAGAAAATAAAAACATAATCAAAGTATGCCACAACACACGATCCGCCAAAATCGCCGACTAAATTTGTGCCATCAATTGTTTAAAGAAATTCATAATTCAATATGTCGTCCAATCTTGATCCGGAACTATCCTCTGCTCAGTAATAAATTATTTTTGTAAAATAAAAATTCACAATTTAGAAACGTTGAATCATTTGTATTTTCTTTGCAGAAATTGTGCCATCTGCTTGGAACCAATTGCGAGCAATCAGAAGTTTTTGTCCTGTGCCCATCAGTTCCACAAAACTTGCATAGACACGTGGTTTACCGTCAAGGAGTCCTGTCCGGTTTGTCGACATCATCCTAAGGAAGTCAAAACGCCACCGATTCCACCTCCCGCCGTAGTAGTGGACGATGCGCGATCCCGACGGGAAACAGTTCGGGCTGTTCGAAGAAGTAGACGTGTTCAACCCACCAGCAGCAGCAGTAGAAATAGGCGGAGATCTGCATCCCGCAGGCGGTAACTGTTGTGGGGTGGGGGGCGTAGAGTTTGGGACGTAAATTATTGTTATTTTTTGTTCTAAATTGTTAGTAATTGCGATGCGAAATATACCTATATATTTTATATTGCACTAATGTTTGTAATTCGTAATTTATTAAACCGAGGAAAAGCCGAGAATTCGAAGTCACCGAGAAAAACACGCACATTTCGATGGTTGCCACACTAAAGGTTGTCATAGGAGATTGCAGATCAGCTAGCTTCTTCGCCACATCAGGTATACCTCAGGGAAGCCACATAAGACCGTTGATTTTTATACTGTACTTCAACGACGTGCATCTGGTCATCGAAGCTCCTCGGTTATCATATGCTGATGACCTCAAAATCTTCCTACGAATTCGCTCCATTGCTGATTGTCACTTTCTTCAACGTCAGCTGAATGTATTCGCTAGTTGGTGCAGTTTAAACAGAATGGTAGTGAACCCAGCCAAATGCTCCGCTATTACGTTCTCACGAAAACAACAACCCATAATATTTAGCTTGGCTCGACAATCGAACGCGTAAATCGGGTGAAAGACTTGGGTGTGATCTTGGATTCGCAGCTATCATTCAAGAGACACATTGCATATCAAGACCAACAATTGAAATGGCCCCAACTCCATTTTGTAAACAATCCTTGTAAGGCCATTTTCTCGCGAACCGAAGTCCGCAAAGGCAAAACAACATAATGAACAGGTAGGGGAAATCGAACAGAGAATCGAACCCAGCCACCTCCAGCATGGTCTTGCTTTATAGCTGCGCCTTTACCGACTGAGCTAAGGGAGACCCAGAACATCTTCAAAGGAATTCGCTAAAGAGTTTGCTTAACAAATTATGAGAAGAAATCTAAGGAATTTGTGAGGAGAAATGCCAATGAATTCTTAGGAAACTTTCAATGTGAGTAAAATTCCAAGGGAAGGAGTGAGATTCAAAAAGAAATCTGAAATGAATTCAATGAATATTCGGAGAATCTTTCCAAAGGGTTACTTATTGTGGTGAATTTGAAGATAATTCCGAGGAAAAATCTAAAAGAAAATTGAATTCGAAGCTTCATTGAAATGTTGAGGTATATTCAATGGAAATCAGAATGGACTATTCTGAGGTCTTCTTTATGTGACTTCTCTAATGTTAACGGAACTGCTCTGAGGTTCTCTGTTCCTTTCTGAAATTCTCAAAACTTCACTTAAGTTTTTGCAGTTCCCATGAAGCTTGTTGTACTGCGCTGAATTTAATTGAACCGTCCTAAAAATATTTAAGCTTCACTGAACCTCTAAACTCATGGGAAGACCTCAATTAAATTTTTAACGTAATTGAAGTCATCTGAAAATCTGGGAACTGCCTTAAATTTTCACTAATTTTCTGAAACTAATGGAACTGGCCTCCCCCGAAATTCAAAGCTTACTAAACTTCTTCCAAATGCTCCCGCATTCCTGAAGTTCACGGATCTCCTCTTAAGCTCCATAGATTTCTATAAAGTTTTCGAAATGTTTCTGAAGATCACTGTCCTTCTGTGAAGATTTAGAAGTTTTTCTAAATTTCTGGAACTTTTGTGCTCCCGCAATTTTTATGGAATTAGACCGAAATAATTGATATAGTTCTTTGATTTTCACTGAAGTTCTCAAGATTTTTCAGAAGTTAATGAAACTAATTTAAAACTTTTTAAATAGTCTAGACTTTCCTGGTGGTATTTAAGCTGCCTAAACGATTATTGAATTTCCCTAAAGTTCACTAGACTGCCCTGAATTTATCAGTATTTTTTTTTTTTGAGAAACCGCAACTTAACTGAAATTAAATGATTTGCCTTGAAGTTTCGACAATTTTCTTCAAGTATTATAATCATTATAAACGCTCACTAATTTTCACTGATCTTATCTATGCTTACCTGAAGTTCTCTAAATTTGTTAAATTATCCGGCCACTTTTCTGACGCTTTTGACGTTTTCGAATCCATCATAGAATTCTTGAAATACCCCACAATTCCACGGAACTCCGTAGGTCGCTTCAAATTTGCTTAAGTTAATGGAATTATTCTGAAGCTATCTGATCATCCTCGAAGTACTCGAAAATTCACTGAATATCATGAAACCATCTAAAAATATCTAAATGTATTAAAAGTTCTATGGATTTCCTTAAAGCTTGCTTGAAGTTCTCGCATTTTTTTTAATTAATGGTAAATAATCACGTTCGAGAAATTCTATCGGAGCTTTCCTGAAGTTTCCGGAAATTCCCTGAGTTTCTCGAAACTACTTTTAGGTTTCTACAATTTCATTGAAATTATTTGAACTGCCCTTTGATTCTTTGATCTGTCTTGATGTTCTCCAAATTTCCCTAAAGCTCTAAATTATATTGAGGATCTCAGATCTGCTCGAAAATAAACGGAATTCTCGTAAAAACCTTTAAGTTTTCATAACTTTTCCGACGGTCTCTGTACATCCCTAAATCGGAACATCTTAAGGGTTCTCGATTTTTTTTTCAGCACATCATGGAACTATCCTGAATTTTTCTCAATTTACGATTATAGATCTTTGAACTGTTCCAAAAGTCAGGACTAAAGCTACGGAACCTACTCTTAAAATCTGAAATTTCCCAAAAATCTCTAGATCTAGCTTTTCTGAGGTATTTTGAACTTCTTAAAAAATTACACAATACCACACAAGTTTTCTTGACACCTGTGAAGTCCTCTGAAACTCTAGGAACTTCATAAAAGTTCCTGAAAGTTTTCGAATGCTAAAAGAACCGCTTTGAGGTTCTTAAAGTTTCCAGTAAGTTCCCCGTATTTTCAGCGTATTAACTTCCCTTATGTTTCCGCAGTTTGTTCATGGAGCTTCACTGAAATTCTCAGTATTTATTTTTATTACTCAGAGCTTCTCCAAAGTTCCTACAATTGTTGTGAAGTTAATGGGACTGCATTGATGATCTCTAAGCGTTCATAAAATTAATTACGAACTTGAAATAAATCATTTATTTTGACGTAGGACTATGTCTGTGATTTCTATATGGGGGTACACTTTGTGAAAACAGAGAATGAAACATGTAACAAAATTACGAAAGATTATGAACGTTTATAACTAGCTGCCCCTGGACCAATTTCAATAATTTTATCACCATTCGATCAGAAATATTTGTACGCATCTGTTAAATTTAAGACTTTATCATTCTTCAAGATTTCACTATTGTAAATTGCACGAATGTGCAACTGTTGCTATGATAATTAAAATTATCACCGATTGCCTGCGAAAAGCGATTTCCTAACACAGATTTCAAAGTTGAATTCCATCCGGTCTCACCAAACGGTGTTTATTCAATTACCGCGTGGTGAGTGGTGGCGTTCTCCAGTACACCTGAAAGCAGCGACCTGCAGCCCACATGACCATTCATAGAAGGAGAAAGAAGACACACAGCTACTGATCGGAATCAGTAGCGCTTCGTGAGTCGCTGTGGGCCATCTATGTCAAGCGCGGCATACTAAAGAGTACAAACAGAGAGAACCTCGCTCAAATCCCTATTCCTACACAAAACACAAGCTCCTGCTGCAGTTAACAAATAAGATTTATTATCTAAGACCACGTAGTCCTACGTCACCATTGCGTACAACCCCATAGGGCTGTCCCTTGTAGTTTTTTTTCCTTTATTCTGGCACTTTGAAAGTTTTCAAAATCTTGAACTTGTACATGGAATGCGAAACTTCAAGATATTGAATAATTGTAGATCTTGTACCTACTAAAATTAAGTTTTTTTTTTAAGTTTATAAAGTGATAAATTAAGGGGGAAAATAAAGTAATTTTTTTTTTATCGATTTTTTTTTACTTTATTTTTTTTAATATGCTACGAGCACGAGGAAGAAGTGATCTATGGCCCCGGTATCGTCGATTTACCGTAAGTTCCAGAAATCATGTTTTTACACAACCCAAAACGCATTTTTCTCGAAACGTTGTTTTCTAAATTGGCGGGAAAGATAACTCAAAAAGTTCTCATCCAAATGACTTGTAACCTGGCGCATCTTAAAGGAAATAGATTTTTACTCTATGTGAACCACAGATATCATGAAAAATAACAATAAATAATTTTCAGGTCTGCCTAAAGTGAAAAAAAACAGTGAAAAATCAACTTTTTTTTTCAGATATTTTTTTTTTAATTTTTAAATCGTTTTTTTTTTGGGCTTTAGAGGTTCACATAGAACAAAAATCTTTTCTGAATAAGGTCCAATTGATAAAAGTAAGTTTTGTCTATTTTTCAGGTCTCTAGAACGCCCGCCAATTACCAATCCCCACCGGAGGCGACCTCCTTCCGATGTGACCCCAAGGAGCCACAGAGGTACACACCAATGAAAAAAATCTCAAATGTAGAGGAAGATTTAAGCAATTTAATGCAAAAAACCCCAAACGTTTGCGTTGTTTCATTCGCTCACAAAAAAAAAATCCGAAAATCGTCGAGTTTTTGACGTGTTACTTGTATTTTCCCCTTTAAGTAAATGGTAAAC